ACATTTCTATTTGAAAGCCTTGTTTCCTACAATAGCCTTCTACAACAATCCTCTTATAACTTTTCAACTTGTCACGAGGTTTATAAAATTTTAAAGCTAGTGCTATAACAAACTGAAACAATGTTATTGCAGATGTAGGAGAGCATCTTGGGATGAATAAATTATAGGAGCCACAAAGAAATCACAACTGTAACGGCTGGATGCTTCAATCTGTGTACAGTGTGCAGATACACAGGAGGGAGCAGGTTTAGGACTGCACAGATCATAGGGCAGGAAAATTGAAGCGTTATAAAGGGTAACCATCTCTTATTTCAAATGCATACAAAACCTCTGGCTGTTGTTCTTATTGAAATAGTTCATTAATGCTTGAAGAGAGTCTGAACTGTCTGGTACTAGAAAAATATGTCCCCAAAGATTACCTCGAGAGAGAGAAGGCTGCAGTTGGAAGTATCAGCCTCTAGTCCCACCATGCAGCAAGCGCAGTATACCCTGAACAGACCAGTCCTCAGCTGTCTGTTGAAAGGACATGCAGAAGTAGGGGAAGACTTCCAACTCCTTCTGAAGTCATTGGTACTGGTTACCATCAGAACTGGATCCACCAGAGCAGGTTAGTTGAACCAGATCATTAAGCCGGTAGTGACTTTGGGCAGCATTCAGGCCATGTACCACCAGGACAGAAACCTGCACGCTGCTTCAGCTGCACAGTGACTTGAACTCCAGGCTCCCAGTGCTCTTCATTCTCCTGGGTCAGAAGGACTGCTAGACTCCCCAGTAACTTGAGGACCACACTAAGAGGTCTGAACATAGCACTGTCCAAGTTACTACTATACAAGCACCTATAAACACCTGCATGTTGTTCCATGCTTACTGAAATTCAACTACATATAGCAAAACAGAATTTACCAGATAACTTATCTAGCCCATTTCCTTTAAGAACAAGAAAACATCATCCTTCCATTCTTTGCAGATCATCTGAGCTACTGGCCATCATTATGAAGATGTTCCTCCTTTCAGCCTGCCTTTAAATCCCCGACTTACAAATTCATACAGGATATGAAGACTCCAGCTAGGCGTTTCATCTTCATGGATCAGCGCTTCCTAGAGGGTCTGCCAGTCAGATGTGCCCTCTCCAATACCTATTTGGCCTGGACCCTGGCATCCTTTTCCAGGCATTTCAATTGATGTCACTGATCTTGGCTCAGCAAATAATCCTTCTAATCACTGACAAGAACAAAGGCTACAGCTCAGCGTTGCTTAGCAGGGCTAAGAGGAGTACACAGTAATAAAGCATTATTCTAGCAAGTGAGCTTGAAAATACGGTTGACCACACACAGACAGCAGCTGCAATGAACAAGAAGGTGCCATTTTTTTTTAAATAAGGACTGTAGTTTTGGTCCCTCATAATTGGGAGATCATTACAAAGACAGCACTGTACCTATGAACGTCCTGCACCCTGGCATGACTCCATCTTCTGAGCTGTAAAATGGCACAATATCTGGGCATGGCCCTCAAGGAAACGGAGATGCATAGACTTTGTATAGCAAGGCACCAGGAAACACACAGCATGTACAGGCAGCTGCAAAGCATTCTGCATATCAGAGTGTCTGGGAACTTCCAGCATAAAGACATAATTGTGTTGCCTTTGCAGAGAGCCCTGTATCCTTCAGGACTGAAATGTCACCACATCAACATTTTGGGAATACAGTTCCCATGGGAGTGAAGGCCCCTGAGATCATGGGTGGAGCTGTATTCCTCCACAGTGCCACATCCAGATGGACTCTTGTGGAAAACAACTTTTTGAATCATGCAATGGCTGGTCACTGACAGCACTTGTTCCCTGCCACCACGCAGCCAGCAGACACCAGGAGTCCCAGGGAAAGGCATGGGAGAGCTGGGGGCTCCCCTCAGCCTGCCCAGCTCCAGCACCAGGGCCATTGTTCCCGAAAGGATGTCTGAGGATTAATTAATTATCCTACAAGGGGCAATAAGTAATAACACTCCTTGTGGAACAATAGAAGCTATTTGGTTGCCATGACAACCCAGCTTCACTTGTGTGCCTTTAATTTATTCATTTCACAGTCCCTTTCCCAATCACACATGATGCCAAAAAATGCCCTGTTTTTCTTGCCAGTATCCATGTCCAAAGCAGGGGTAAGACACAGCCCTTTCCCTGGGGCATCTGTCACACAGAAGAATGATGCACATAAAATCCCTTCAGCATGGAAACTTACATCACATGAGAACTCTTCTGGTCCCTAAATGTTTCTTCTTTAAAATGTTTCTGATTTTTTAACCCTTTTTTGAAGCTGCCTTACCATGGTGCTTACAGATCTTGATCCTGAGTAGGTTGTCACATGCAGTCACTTTGTCCCCTGTTCCCAACCCTCCCCTCCCCCAGCATATGTAGGAAGGATGAGCAGACATTATGCTTGTCAAGTTGAACAAAGAGCCAGGAGGCATAATCGAAAGCCCAGCAGTGACATGCCTTCAACAGGAGCACGGCATGGAGAGTGCCTGGTGCCCAGCCTGATTGCAGCCATGCCACAACCATCAAAACACTCACTGTTCATCAACAGTGCTACCCAAATTGTGCAAGATCCAGAGCAACATGGGAATGAAGGTCCATGCCAGGAAACCCGCTCTCCCATGCACCCCACAGAGAAATTATTGTTGCTGCTCCTCCCCAGCCCTGAGCATATACATTTTCCTCAGCCATCCTGCAGCAGAGGGAAGCAGGTGTGCCCTGGAGAGGGGAGAGCACCATATTCACAGGGCAAGGGTTGGAAAGGGTTGCTGAGAATGGCCCCTAGCCTGGAACACAGCATGCCTGGCCACAGCTGCTCACAAAAAGTGTATGACAAAGCACTTGATCAGCCTTTAAAGCCCATGGACACATCTCCAGCAGGAGGTTCATCCTGAAGCAGCCTCTGCAGTGCTCAGCTGTCTTCTCAGGTCTACAGAGGAAGATCAGGGCAGTTGTCACAGGTAGGCTGAGAACCAAACCCCTCACTCGCTCCCAGTTATGTTTGTGCAAGCTGAGGTCTTAAGCTACAGACCCAGACCCCAGATTGTTCATACTGGCTCTAGCAAGGAATGTGACAGCTGGTTCACCACGTAGGAAAATTCAGGTCCAAGTTGAGACTGGGGGAGGAGATGACTCAAAGTTGAGCTCTGCCCTGACAGGCAAGATAGACGGAACTAGGTTAAGCCATCTGGCTTTTACAAGTTGAGCCTCACCTCAAGCACAGCTATCCAATGCAATGGGGACATAGGTTTGTGACTGAATTTCTGATTGTACACACTGTCCAATGTCACTGTTACTAGACTGAGGTGTAACATGCCATGCAGAGAATTACGGTAATGGTGGGATGATAGCAGAGAGTCTGGAAAAGAAACTGTTCCATATGAGAACCTGGAGGTTCATAGTTGGCCCTTCACCCTGGGTCATATCAACATACACATTCAGAATTTTCAAGCAGTTTGGAAACCAAAGTAACTAGTCAGATTGTCTTGCCTCCCCTCCTCCCTACAATGCAACAGCAGAATAGCTGGTGGCCAGAGAAACAGGGCAGGAGAGTCCAGAAACAGATAAATAGGACAGGAGCATTGGGAGACAAAGGTTTTAACTGAGTTAAACAGCAAGAGCTCTAAACTGTCCTGCCTAGGATTCTCCTGCATGGGTCAGGAACTGAGGAACAGGACAGCTGCTGCCAGGAGGTCCCCACCAACCTTTCCACTCCACTCAGCCTCTTAGGAAGGAGAGGAGTTTGGAGGAAAAGCCTCTGGGCAGGAGGCAGGAAGGCAGATTAGTGCAATCCATGTCTTCTGCTGGGTGCTAAGGGCTTTGAAAAGACAGATAGCACAGGCCTGGATATGTACCCAAACATGACCAAAATAAATAATAAATTTCACCCCAAACCATTGCTATCTGAGCAGATAATTTTTTTCTTCTCAGTGGTATGAAAAGCTCCAGTCTATCAATGCCACCCAAAATCAAATCTCCGTTAGATGCTTCCCTTTCCAGTACAGATCTCTGAATAAATGTGAAATTACCACCAGCAAGCATGAAGAGACACTGACTGTTTTTCAACTTGGCAGGCAAAGGCTGACTGTAAAGACACCACTGCCTTTGTGTCAACCGAAAAATACAATTCACATAAGAATTAATGGCTTGGAGAGGCAGCTATGCAACCAGCACAGAAGGATAAGGGATGAGAACCTATTTTGGACAAGATACCACTAGCTCCAGAGATGCCAGCAGAGATCCTCTGTCCACATGTTCACAGGTAACACCAGGGCTACCTCACTGTGTCAGTTTAGACACTCATTAACCCTACGAGATTTTACCCCACGTTAGGAAGTGAACTACAGTCTTTCAGCATGTCCAGACACATCACAAGTACCACCAGCAGGGGTAGGTGTGTAACACAGAGATCCCACATGCAAGTCCTGTCTTGCAAGTGTTATTTCAGTGAGTTCAGGATTCTTTCAGCCTGGAGCTGGGCTGAGGCTGTGGGGACAACTGATGAGCAGTCCCAGTGACACTGGCCACTCAGCAGGTGGAAGGAAAAAGGCTCAGACTGAAACCAATATGCTGAGCAAGAAATTTTGGGAAAAACCCTCATTTCCTACAGCCCAGTTAAGTGTTAGATTTTATTTTTCATCACACTATATGTGGAAAAATCATCCTTGAATGTCTTAGTGAGGAAGAATTCTATCTTAAATCAGAGTTCCCATCACCCCTCATAATTCTCTGTCCAAAGCAGAACAAAAAGTACTTTGTCAATACCAGACAAATGTCACTCTTCCTCCAACAACTTCCCAGCTGCAGGGAAGATCTGTAGTAGGCATTGAAGGAAGCAGGGCTTTGACTACTCTATTTTTCAGAAGTGTACCCTGAGATCTCAGGTGGCTCCACGAAGCCATTGTCTTGGAAGGAGATTTCAACCAGAAAATGGAAGAACAGTTTATTAGTTTTTTTTTTCCCTTTCCAGACTTACCATGTTGACTTCAGAGATCTGGTCAATGCTGGAGATATGGATGCTCATTCCCACTGTGACAGGGTTACCTGAAACATAAATGGACTGGGTTAGAACCATATTCAAGCCCTCCTCCCTTACCTGCTATTAAAGAATTGCCTGGAAATACATCGATATGATTTGAAGCAGCCTCACATTCCCCAGGTATCAAAGGTTTCAAAGTCACATGCTCAAACAATTAGAGAAAAGTAGATTTCTTTAACTCCCAGCCTTACAGACTCACCCATAGGAGTAGTACAGCCTAAGCTTGATTCCTTAATTCCTGGAAGTTAATTACCCCCTAGTTATACAATTATCTTCGGTTATTCCAAATAATGCCTTCAGAGACCATCAGTAGGCTCCCAGTGGGCTTGCGTAAGGTGTTACTGATTGACCATACCAAGAACATAGCAATCAAGCTCAAGCAACACATGGGCAGGAAAGATACTCCAGCTCACTCCTCCTTCATTTGTCTGCTCCAAGTGCTCAGTCTGACACCCCCAGGTGATTTTTAATAACCAAGATACCAGACAAGTACAAGGACCAGATCTATGAAGTGAGAAAGCAGCATCCGTCCAGCGGCTTTTTCAGAGCAGAGAGGTGCTTGGATTAGAGAACAGACTCCCCATTTTACAATGGGCATCAAGGGCACGTGTATTGGGTTTGTGTGGCAGCGTTTTGGTAGCAGGGTGAGGGACTACAGAGATGGCTCCTGTGAGAAGCTGTTAGAAGCTTCCTTGGCTCCAAGTCGGACCCACCTCTGGCTAAGGCTGACCCAGTCAGTGACGGTGGATCCATGTCTGTGAATAATATGTTTAAGAGGGGTGCAGCACACAGAGTGGGCAGGTGGCATGACCCTAGCTTGGCTGGCTGTCCCAGCCCAAGAGCCAGGAGCTTTTCAGGAGCTAGCAAAGAACCTGCAGTGGAGAGGAGTGGGATATGAGAGAAACAACTACACAGACAAGAAGATCAGTGAAGAAACGAGGGGGAGGACGTGTGCCAGAGCAGTTATCCATCTCCAGCCCACGGAGGGTAACAGTGGAGCAGATATCCAGCTGCAGCCTGTGCAGGTTAGTGGTGGAGAAGATGTCCACCTGGAGCCTGTGGAGGACTCAATGCCAGAGCAGGCAGCTGCACCCAAAGAAGGCCATGACTCCACAGGAGGGACCCATGCTGGAGCAGTCTGTTCCTGAAGGACTGCGCCCTGTGGAAGGGACCCACACTGGAGCAGTATGTGAAGAACGGCAGCCCATGGGAAGGACTCACTCTGGAGAAGTTCATGGAGGCCTGTCTCCTGTGGGAGGGATGTCACACTGGAGCAGGAGAAGAGCATGAGGAGTCCTACCCCTGAATAGGAAGGAGCAGCAGAAACAAGGTGTGATGAACTGACCACAGCCCCCATTCCCCATCCCCCTGTGCTGCTGGGGTGGGGGAGGAAGTAGAGAAATCAGATGCAAAGTTGAGCCCAGGAAGAACTGGCGGGCGGGGAGGAAGGTGTTTTTAAGATTTGGGTTTATTTCTCCTTATCCTACTCCGATTTGATTCATAACAAATTAAACTGATTTTTCCCCCAAGTTGAGCCTATTTTACCCATGACCAGAAGTGGTAAGTGATCGCTCCCTGTCCTTGTCTCAGTCCACAAGGTTTTACCTTTGTTTTCTTCCAGTTCTCCTCCCCATGCCATGGAGGGGGCAGGGAGGAGTGAGCAAGCAGCTGCATGTTGCTTAGTTGCCAGCTGGACCTAAAGCATGACAACATGTCACCCCACGTCCTCTTGCCTGCAGCCACAGAGCTGTGGGAGACACCTGTGTACAGGTTTGCTGGGAAATTCAAATATTCCCTTGCCCAGTGACCAAGCTACTCTCACACTGCAGTAAGTGCCACTGAATGCAACATGCAAGATGAGCTTGAGAAGAAACACCACACAAGGACAGTCACAGACAGACCTATTGCTCTCTCTTGCCCAAGTGCAGCAAGAGCTATATTACCACTTCCCACACACCTGTAGAGTCAGGGCAGAAACCAGCCATTTCAGCCAATTCTTCCAGATGTGGGGCATCCCAGCTAGATCCAGACTCAGACCCAGTTCTACCTAAGCCCCTCTGACTAGCAACTCCCACAGCCAGGCAACAGGACAGCACTTTCAGAGGGATTTAAGCCACATAAAACAATTTCAGAATCTTAACGTGAGCAGGCAGTGTGCACTTGCAGCCCAGAAAGCCAACCGTATCCTGGGCTGCATCAAGAGAAGTGTGACCAGCAGGTCAAGGGAGGTGATTCTCCCCCTCTACTCCACTCTCATGAGACCCCACCTGGAGTACTGCATCCAGCTCTGGGGTCCTCAGCACAGGAAGGACATGGACCTGTTAGAGTAGATCCAGAGGAGGGTCACAAAGACAGTCAGAGGGCTGGAGCACCTCCCATATGAGGACAAACTGAGTGAGTTGGTGTTGTTCGCCCTGGAGAAGAGAAGGCTCCAGGGAGACCTTATAGCAGCCTTCCAGTACCTGAAGGAGGCTACAGGAGAGATGGGGAGGGACACTTTTATCAGGGAGTGTAGGGATAGGACAACAGGTAATGGTTTAAAGCTGAAAGAGGGTAGATTTAGATTAGATATTAGGAAGAAACTTTTTCCTGTGAGGGTGGTGAGGCACTGGCCCAGGTTGCCCAGAGAAGCTGTGGATGCCCCATCCCTGGAGGGGTTCAAGGCCAGGCTGGATGAGGCTTTGAGCAACCTGGGCTAGTGGCAGGGGGGTTGGAACTAGGTGATCTTTAAGGTCCCTTCCAGCCCAAACCATTCTATGATTCTACGAATTTGCAGAGAGATACACATCCACTATCAAAACCACCAAAAAAAACCCTGTAGCTTGACATGTTTCTGAGTGCTACCCCTCTCCTGTCATCCCCAAAGCCAGAGCACAAACCCAATTGCACTGCAAGGAAAGCCCCTCTTTTCGCACATGCAAGGTGGAAAATGATTCCTTGCAATGCAGTACCAGAAAGGGAATGGCAAACAGTTATGCCACTCAAGGTATTAACTCTTCCATAGACTCATTAGTAGATCTAAGTGCTGAAATATTTACAGATAATCATGAAATGGCTTAGAAAGTAATTAGGAGATTGGGGGAGAGGGGAGAACCACACAACTGGAAATGAAGTGATTTTTTAATTATGTGTTACCAGAAGTAGGAAAGTAGTGTCATTAGGGCTGCCTTGTGATTGGGTGCACTATTAACCGAGACCCTCTGCTGCAAATTAAGCCGTATTATCCTTTAATGGAATATGAACACCACTGAAAACATCAGAATCAACAACTGTAATTAGGCCCTGCTATGCAAATCTCCTTAAAGAGGCAGCGCTCTTCTCCAGCACTCCTGGCACCTGTCAGGGGTGCCAGAGGCACGGGTGCTACAGGGGCACACTCCTAGCCACACCTTTGCTGTACTGCTATGATCATCTTTCACAAGGGAAATAGGTGGGACAATATCCGAGAGTCACTCTGGGGACAGGCGATTCTCCTGTATCCTCCCTTGCGCCAGAGGCTGACTGTGGCACAGGAAAGCTTTCTAAGGAAGTCTCACTTTGGTAGTTTGTCTTTTTTTCTGAAATCGGGGTGTTTTGATAGACACTGTAGCAAGAGGAGGAAGTCACTGCTAGCCCTGAGGATATTACAGACTAACTGGTTACAGGAGGAAAGACAGGGCCACATGAAGGGACACAGCAAGAGCTGGGGAGAAGCCAGCTCCCCACTCCTGAGCCTTTCTGCCGTGCCATGTTATTTCCTCCAAGGGTTGCCCTACTGCTTAGCTTCCAGTCTGGCACCACGGGTACTTATGTCACTGTGGTTATGTGTCCCCTCCTCCCTCAGTGCAAAAAGTGGTTCTTCCCCACCCCTGCTGTGTAGGAGACCCACTGAAACCAGCAGGCTGGGTGGTTATAGCAGGGGAGCACTGACAGTGGTGATATACAAATATTTGTCAAATACAGAGCGTATCCAATCTAATCTATCTGTCTAGACATTTGTGCTGTGTTCATCACCATGGTATCTGAGTGCCTGAGGTCATGCAGTGACTCAGTGTCAGAGATGCAGATAAGACCCAGACCTCCCTCCCAACTCCCAGCTCCAAGACAAATGCTGGAGTGGAGATCAGCCACGCTGCTCCCCGTCAGCCTGGGTTCAGCTGCACCCAACTCCCGTGCACAGTCAGCAATGTTCTGCTTAGCCATTCTGGGCACTGCCAAGACCTCCACACTCCACCTGTCATGGCAAGTGGGAGGCTGCACTGCCTGCTTGCAGCCCCTGGGGTGTGTGCCCGTCAACCCACAGGCAGGAGCATGTGATTGTCATACAAGCACTCCAAAGATGAAGGTATGTGAAGTACTGCCTTTGCTGGACCTACTCTTAGCTTGATCACAAGGAAGCCATTTCACCTTCTCCATCCCTGTTGTGAAGACTGGCTCGCAGTCCCCTCAGGACAGGGATGCAAGAGCATGAACACAGCCACCAGAAAAAGCGTGCCCTACCTCTTACTGCAGCCCAACGAAAAACTAGACCGGCTGGTGTCCAACATTCAGGCTGTAAGTAGTACACAAAATAAACAAAGGACATAAATTCTGCCAATGTTAATAGCTTCAGGCGAGAGGGATACAAAAGTAGGGTACTTAAAATATGGGATAACGTCATCTGTAAATTTGTCCAGAAAGACAGAACTCTGCATTTGTGGATCTGAGACAAGGCAAAAGAAGAAAACCTGATATTAAAGGTCCATGCTTTTATCTGTGCCTTGCCAATGGGTGCAAAAAAATAAACCTTCTCCTCTTAAAGAAAAAGCTTATGCCTAGAAAACATTTGTAGGCAAGATCATGAGTGAGTGTGAGAAATTCTGCCACTTTCACCAGTGAACAGCACCCTCACACGTCCCCATTTCTCACCACCACTGGAGAAATCACCAACATTTTGTCTTGAAAGTAGTTCAATGCCTGGGAAAAATGTACTTTGGAAGTTGGAAGGGAAGCAGACAAAAGAGTTATAATAAAACCTGTCCTTTTT